TCCGTCTCGGCTGTGTGTGAATGTGATGAGCAACTAATCGACATCTCCGTCGTATCCCAAGCTGGGAGGGATTGAGGTATGGCTCGGCCCTAGGCCCAGACCTTTAATAAGGAATTAGAGGTTTGCACACGTGGCTTCATCTTCCATTCGTTGTCTATAGCCTATAGAAAAGGACTAGTTCTTTGGGCGCGTCATGCGCGCGGTCACCTAGTTACACGTATTTTTTGAGAAAAAAAAGATATAATCAAGGGGAGCCTATATTTCGATTTGAGAAAAATCTGAGGAGGTTTTCGAAAAAATCGCTGAGAGTGTCTCTGGAGTGCGGGTTGATTTTTGATAAAAGGAAGATTTTTTTTGCAAAAAATCCGAGCTCATCCGTTCTGGACTGCGGGTTGATTTGAAAATTATCTGAGGTGTTATTTGCAAAATATTATGAGAAGGCCTCTGGAATGTAGGTTGATTTCCCAAAAACATAAGGGGTTTTTCGTAAAATAACCGCGCCTCGCCTGATCTGGGCCGTCGATGCGGCCGATCGAACGGCCGGGAACGGCGCGACGTGGCGCCGTGTGGGCAGCCTGGCCACACGCTTTCTTGTCTTTAGATTGATAGATTTGGAGGAGGGTTTCGCCTCTATGTTTCCTTGCTAGTACAAGACGTTTCAGAAAACGGAATATATATCTTTGCGAAATCTGCTTCCTAATGGCCGTAGTATAGTTCCGTCCGGGCAACGGTGGCTTTTCTGATGGACTTTCTGTAGACTGCTGCTGTAGTCATCTGCTACGCCACGAAGTCCTGTTGGGTCACGACGGATTCCTTTTCTTGTGGAAGATTGTAGTGATGTTTACTGCTCATCCTCTCGTGCTCTCGCTTTATTCTAATAAATTATATATAGCTTAGTTTGGCATTATTATAAGTTAAATAAATTTCTCTTACTTTAATCACCTAAAACACGTGTCACAAGGACACGTTAAGAAAAAAACAATATTAAATTACTTTTATTAGATATTTCATAAAATATATTTTGATGGGTATTTCTATGAGGTTGTAGTCTTGTAGATGATAATATATTATTTTGAAAGAGTTAAATGCATTAGCGGTCCCTGAACTTATCATCGAATGTCACTTAGGTTCGCAAATTTTTTGAAACAACACATTTGTGAGTTCCTATAAACTTATTAAGTAGTGCTCTGCACATGTCTAAACTTGTTAAATGGTGCAGGTGCACTGTAGGTTCATTTCAAGACCATACCAACTATGTGGTGCCTCATTTAACAAGTTTATAGACTAGAAATGTGTTTTTATAGTTCGTGTACCTCGATGGTATCCTTTGACAAGTGGTGCCTCATTCAATAAGTTTATAGACTAGAAATGTGTTTTTATAGTTCGTGTACCTCAATGGTATCTTTTGATAAGTTCATTGACCGCTGATGCATTTAACTTTTTTTAAAAAAATAGTTACATTAGAGGTTTTATTTTAGAATAAAATTAAATCAACCACAATTTAAAATTAGAGGTTCTATGCATACTATTTGCCTTTTCCTTTTGTACTGTCTTTTCGAAAGATGCCTGTACGGGGTGAAAATGGTACGGATATTTTCCGACCGTATTCGAGACCGAATCCGTTTAGAGGAGTTCTGATCTGTCCATATCCGAGTCCGGATATTCAATATCCGATACCGTATCCGTATCCGAATACTCAAATCGCATATTTATGATGTCGATACCCAATCATATCCTATCCGGCATAGCTAACACTATCCGTATTTGAATCCGAATCCGGACAGAAATATGAAAACAAATGTAATATCGGTGATATGCGTTCGTATCCGATCCGTTTCCATCCCTACCTGTACCGAGTGCTGTGCTCGTTCTGGAACCCGAGGAACAGCGAAAGAATCAAAGAACCGGAAGGATGCGGTATAGTTGAAATGTTGTTGGAGTACGAGGCGGCGTCTAGCCGAAAATCAAACCACCTCTTCTTTTTTTCTTTAAGAAAATGATCGGACCTGGCCCATTCATTCACAAAATCACAATATTATATACTCATGTATTTACTCAGAGAGTAGAAAATATAACAACATATACATCACAAATTTCTCACAGATTACAATACAGGTAATGAAGGAGTTATATATGAACAAGACAACGACGAGGATGGATACGAGTTATTTGGACAAGGTATGCTCAACTCCTTAAAAGTATATTTGAATCATTATGTAACTCATACTTAACTTTTTCATGCTTCAAATAAAACCAGAAAGGGGCAGAGAAGTGGAAATCGAAACAAGACAAGATGAGAAAATCAGTACACAGGATTGTGACATCCCTGATCCAAATGAGGTCGTCTATAGCAACATACCAAAGGAGACACATATGCTGAAAAGTTTAGAAAATTACAGATACTATAATGAAAAAAAAAATCCAATATGAAAATAAGGACAACAAAAGTTAGATCAGACTAGCCAATCCAGACACGCCGCCTGAACTCACGAGACTTTAAACAAGCAAAGCCAAAACACCGCCTCTTCATTCTTAAAAAAAGATGATTGGACCTGGCCCATCCATTCACAAAGGTGTGTCTCGTGGGGATATTTAACTATTTATCATTATAATTGATGACAATTTTTAAGATAGCATTTTTAAAATTGACGCTACAGATTTAGCAGCAGAGAGAAAAATTCGATACGAAATTGCCGCTTTTGCTCGCGTCGCGTGGCACGCCAACACCTCGCTCCAGCGAGGATCCGAGTGAGCAGTCTCATGCGAAAAGATCATCGTGCCCCTCCCCTTTTTGCCATAGATTAAATGATGGACGGCTCATGATAGCTTTGTATTTTCAAGATATTTATTCTTTATTTTACAAAGGAAAAAAGAATGTATATGACATCATCATGATGCCATGGCTCGCAAAGCAAATTGCGCATGGCGCACGGCGCCCGGCTTAGGCCGGCGTTCTGCACGCTGTGATTGCGCAGCTTCACGCGCTCTACTCCCTGACCGCCGCCCGCTTAGCAGGAGTCCGACACGGGCCTGCGGAGCTGCGTGGCCGCGGCGCCGCGGGCGGGGCTGGCAGCCTTCGGAGACGCGGACGACTCCGGCATCCTCTACCACCTCGCCTCCGCCGCGGACCACGGCGGCGCTCAACTGGTGTGACTCCACCCCGGCTTCTGCCCCGTTGACACCTCTCCGTCTGGCTCCGAGGTCGTCATCGGCATGGTGGAGCGTGTCGTGGCCACGGACGGCCGCATCGCCGACGTCGTGCTGAAGCGGCGCGACGGCGTGGTGGATGCCGACACCGTCGTGCTCGCGCTTGGTCCGTGGTCCAGGCCGATCTGCAGCGCGCGGCGCACCGCAAGGAGGCTCGCCAGCGGCCGCGCCTTTCTCTCGTCATCTTGGCCCGCCCACATCCAGAGCGCCGACCTGCACGCGCTTGCCCCGTGGCGGCCCTGTTCGCTGCCGCCTGCCTCTTGGCATGTCGCGCCGTCGCGGTCGTTGCAGGCCGCCGCCGAGCGAGCGGTCCGTGCTGCTGGCGTTCCTCGCGACGACGAGTCCCGGGCCCGAGCGCCGCCGTCGCCTCAGGTGGAGCGCGTCGACGAGGATGGCGAACGAGCAGGGCGCCTCGCGGATGTGGCTGTCGGCAGGACGTACATGGCGCTGCACATGGAGTTCTACGGCAGCTGGAGCTTGCATCGGGTACCAGATTCGGGAGAGGAGGAAGCGGAGACCGGAGAAGAGAGGGGATGGAGCAGGAGCTGGTGCCCCTGGCGGTTGGTGTGGAAGCAAAGCAGGCCAGCACGCGTAGCCTGCCGTCTGCGTCGCCGCCGCCGGGCGCGCACTCCACCGAGCGGTGCTTGTACGGCACCGTCCACCGCGCTGGCTTGTAGAAGGTGGTGAACAGCACCTTGAGCACCAGAATGGCGAACGCCTCGTCGTTCAGCACCTTTTGGTTCCGTCTCCGCGATGTTGAGGACGACGAGCTCGAGTGTGCCGAGCAAGAGAGCAGCGAGTGGGCCAAAGCTGGGAAGGAGGAAGGAGGAAGGAGGAAGGGCAGGATGGACATTTCATATGGGCTTGCTTACTCGACGCTGGAGTGAGGTACAGGCATGCTACGCGTGTAAAAGTGACAATTTCGTATCGGATTTCTCTCTCTACTTGTAAAACCATAGCACCAATCATAAGAATGCTATCTCAAGAGTTGCCATCCGTTATAATGCTAAAAAGTTAAATATCCCGTCTCCATGGCTTGTACCTGCTAGTTGGTTTTTCCATCAGTCATTTTCAACCTTCTCCTCTTTGTGCCTCCTTCTTTCTCACACCCCACATGCGCCTTCTTCCTTCTCGCGCCTCACCCTCACCTACCTCGCCGGCGGCCACACCCTCCTCCTTGTCCTTGCCCCCGCCGCCGCCCACCACCCCGCCATGGCGCGCTAGGGTTTTACCGGAGCTCCGCCTCCTTCTTCCGTGGCGAGCTCCGGCCATGGACGCCTCCACTTCGACCTAACTCAGCCGCCTCCGCCGCCAACAAGACCCTAAGCCACCCTCCCACCGTTCCCACAGCCTGGTCGGCCTGCCTCCCCCGAGCCCTTCTCTTCTAAGCCCGACGGAGTTGGGGAAGAAGAGAGGGAGAGTCGAAGAGAGAGAGAGAGAGAGAGAGAGAGAGAGGGCGCCGCCACTGCTGGAACCCTAACGCCGCCGCCATCTTCTTCTTCGTCTCCGGTGCGGGCGCGCATGCGCGACGCGTGGAAGGAAGAGCGTGGGGAGGCATGTGACTGATGCAATTGCTAAATTTCAGGCGAGAATGCAAAGGAGTAAAACTGTTCACAAAATCATAATATTGTAGGTCCATTGTGAAATATGATAAAGAAACTAAAGAAACAAATCGCAGAGGACGGAAGCCTAATTAATGACTTGGCAGGTTACACATGAACGTTGTAGGAAATTTATATTCCTACTTTAGTTCAAATGGAACTTGTGACAAGGATGGCTTCCAATCCTCTCTACTACACATCCAAGAGCTTGAGCACGACCGGGAGCCCTTTCGACGGTTGCAGCGTCAGGAAGTCGACCGGCGCGTGCACGTACTCCGGTGCCACCTCGAAGGCGAACCGCCGCAGGATGAGCGCCAGCGTGGCCTTGGCCTCCAGCATCGCGAAGTCCTGCCCGATGCACGACCGCGGGCCCAAGGAGAAGGACAGCAGCGCGTTCGGGTGCGCCGCCGCCCTGCCCATGCCGTCCCGGAACCGGAGCGGGTTGAACGCGCCGGCGTCAGCGCCCCACACCTCCTCGTCGCGGTGGAGCATCGCGATCGGGATCAGCAGGAGGGTGCCCTTGGGCACCTTCACGCCGCAGAGGTCCGCGTCCGCTGTCGCCTGCCTCGCGATCATCGGCACCGCGCCGTACAGCCGGAGCGTCTCGTACAGCACCATGGTCACCTGCGAAACAACATAAGAACATGGCTGTGATGCACATGCACGCTCGCAGGCGATCACCGTGCGGATATACACCTGCTTGGCGCTAGCTAGCTTAATAAGCTTAAGGTGGAGGGGGCTCACGAGCTTGAACTTGTTGAGGGCGTCGCCGCGGAGGGGCACCTCGGCGCCGCCGCACTCCCGGATCACCTCCTCCCTGAGCCGCTGTTGCCACTCTGGGTGCGTGCCGAGGAGGAACATGGCCCAGGTGAGGAGGTGCGAGGTCGTGTCGTGGCCGGCGAAGAAGAAGGTCTTGCACTCGTCGATGATCTCGTCCATGCTCATGGCCTGCTGCCTATTGCCGCCGTCGTCGCCGGCGGCGTTGGCCTCCAACATGAGGCCGAGCAGGTCGCTGCCGTAGCCCCTCGCCTCCTTCGCAGCGGCGAGGCGCTCGCCGATGATGGCCATGAGCGTGCCCCGCACCGTTCGCTCGAGCTGCCAGCGGCGCACGTTGGCCTTGGTGGGCACGTACTGCATGCCCGGCACGCGCACGCTGTTGATGGAGGCGAAGGCGATGAACTGGAGCTCCCGCTGCGCCAGGAACACCTCCTTCCCCTGCCGGTAGCTGCTGCCGAACGCTGTGTGCGAGATCACGTCGGCGGTGAGCTCCGTGAACTGATGCCCCACCTCCACCGTCACCCCCTCCCCGTCCCCGCTTGCGGCGGCGCGCGCCTCCCACGCCCGGATCACCTCCGCCGCGCACGCCGCCATCGCCCCCGTCATCGACTTGAGCTTGTCCATGGCGAACGCCGGGTGCACGACGCGGCGGTGGCGCGACCAGTCGTCGCCGTTGGTGAAGGCGAGGCCCATGCCCATCAGGGACAGTATGGTGGGGCCCGGGTTCGGCTTGCCGTACAGCCCCGACTTGTCGGAGAGGACCCGCTTCACCATGTCGTAGCTGCCCACGAACAGCGCCGGAGTCGAGCTGGACCACGTCAGGAACACCTTGCCGTAGAGTGACATCCACGCGCGGTACTGCGGCATCACGCGCGGGATGTAGTCGTGGGAGGTGAGGTCCAGCGTGTCGCCGCTCGTCGCCGCCCGCATCGCCTGAACCTCCTTGCTGTTGCCCACGAAGACACGGTACGGCGGCCCGCGGACGCCCTGCCGCGCGAACGCCCTCGCGACGGCGTACGGGCGCCATACCAGGTGGAGCAGCACCGTCCACAGCCTCGTGACCACCACCACGGCGACGGCGGCGGCGACCAGCGCTACACCTCCCGTGCCCATGTCGAGCAACAGGAGGATACGAACGAGAACTCGGCGTGCACCCTGCGAAGCGAACTGCAATACGCACGGAGGAGGGTAGTACTGCGATGTGATGTCGTCGTGTGTGCCATTGTCACTGTGTATATATATTATCAAGCAGAAGCTGAATTGCCGTCGTAAAATACGGTGTCGATGTCAAATTTTCAACAGCTTCTCTGCTTAGCACTTTCAGCTTTGTCGTGCCTCCGGCGATGTCACCAGCGACTGATTGCGAGTTGCGACCGGCGTTAAGTACAAGGCAAGGGCTTTGTCTAACGAGGGAAGTTGCTGTCTTGCTGACGGACGGTCGAAGACTTCAAGCGATCTCGCAAGCCTTTGTGAGATCTACATCAGATTGTTGATGTGTGGCTCTAAATGAAACCGCTGAACCGGTACTCTTCCTTGCCGACTCCCTATCTGAAGCCTGATTCCGTATACTGAACTGACAGACTGAAGCCAAATATTCAGAGTTCCTGACAACACCTCCCGTCTAAAAATCCTTGCCCTTAATGATGAAATGATGGAAAAAAAAATCTTCCTAATAAAATTTGCATTCTCCCGTGTAGCTTTACAAGCAGGTAGGTTGAGCCACTATATCAATCATTGGACTACTGATTCGTTGTTGCGAGGGACAAGACAGCGTTGAAGAATCGTAATTGGGGCCACTTTGATCTTGCCATGATCATCAATCAGAGGAAGGTTAGGGAATGGGACAACTTGAGGACCAAGGCGTTGTTTAAGCTGGCTGACACGGAAGATAGAGCGAAGTTGACAGCCCTCCGGCAGGGGTCCAAAGTGGGAAAGGGCGTCCGGCGATGTCGCCAGCGACCGGCCGCTAAGTACAAGGCAAAAGCTTTGTCTGACTAGGGAAGATGCGACGGCCTTGCGAATGGACGGGCGCAGACTTGAAGCGATCTCGCACGGCGGCAGCCGGCAGGGGCCTTTTGGTGAGATCACGGATGACTTGGTTGAGCATCTGGATACTGGACAGCAACAACGTACTTGCTTTCTCGAAGGCTGGAAGCGTATACGTTTTTTTCATATATGTATATACTGATCGCTTCTCTTATAATCCATACTTTTCAACTTCTTTTTTCAGTCAGAACAATGTTTTTCTCTTATAACAAATCAGCCGGAACAATATTTTAACTTATTTTTTTAGCGAAATGAACGGGGCCATATATTGTTCATACATCGCCATGAGTGATCATCTTGTCGTGTGAACAAGACTAGAAGGCTTTCGGAATTATCTACCTCAGATGTGAGAGGATGAGATCCTCTTTATAGTTCTTATATAGAGTTTGGTGGCATGCGTATGGCTAGGGTGTATCTTTTTTTAAATGTCTTTGTTATCTCTGCCTTTCCGATGGTAACATGATTTTTTATCTGATTTGACTGAGTAATGTATGAGATCAACATGTGGACTTATCAAAGAAAAGTTGGTAGACTACTTCTTTTTCAATATTTGTATTGAAAATTTGGAATACAAATGGCTGCCTATCAATATCGTCAAGGGCTCCGAGGACAGAATTCCATTTTACTGGCTGTCTGTCAGAGTCGGACACAAGAAATCAGAAAACAAAAGCAAATACCTGAAGGATCAAGAAGCAAATCGATACAGGTGGTACTAGTAGCAGTATTTAGATAGCGAACCAGTCGATCTTGATACAGAAGTCGCCGGTCTGTCGTCGGGACGGTGGACCAGAGGCAGGTGAATAATTATTTCTAAAAAAAATTAATTACGCCGGCTAATCAAAACAAGGACGAAATTATATTATCGATGTAGCCAAAATTACACCCCTCTATCTAAATTTTCAAGCACTTTACAAAGATTCTAATAAAGCAACTAAGGTGCTGGGTTAGGTAGAGCTCACCTAATCGATTCTAGTTAGTAAGGTCACATAAACATATGCAACTAGTACTTAAGCAATCAGGAAGTTCTTTCACATACAGTATGCAAAAACATAAAGTCTTAAGCTCACTAGCAATGCTCAATAACAAGGCTACACAAGTTAAATTACAGAGCTCAAATTATTTAGTTACACAAACTAAGCAATGTAACTAGTAAGACTACTCAAGCTAGCTACTTACGCAAGAGAGCTACTTCTAAGTTACACAAGCAAAGAGAGCAACTAGCAAGCTACTCAAGCTAACTAGTTACAAGAATAACTACACAAGCACAATATATAAATAAATAAATACAAGCTTGTGTATGGAGATTGTAAATCTACAAAAAGATGATGACACGATGATTTTTATCCCGATGTTTACTTGTTTGCCGGCAAGTTAGTTCCCGTTGTGTCGGCCGTTCACTTGGTGGTTCACACCCTAATAGGCACCACACCTATCCCAGCACTCGGGGCCGTAAGAACCTACACAAATGAGGGCGTTCAACGACAAGAGAAATTTATTAGAGTTGCCTTTGGCGCTCTACCAGGGAAGGCACAACACCCCTCATAATTAACCGATCGGAGCCGGAAACAATCACCACTTCCGCTCAACGATCCCTCAATGTTCAGGACGTCTAGGTGCCGACAAACACCAAGAGTAACAAGCACCACCAGCTTATATCTCGATCACCTTGTGCCACTCGATGCAATCTCATAATGCAACGCACTAGAATCACTCACTCGCAATCGATTCGCACTCTTGCAAGCACAAGTGAGTTAGAGAGCTCCCAAACACACTCAAGCATGGACACTAAGTCCCCCAAGGTGCTCAATGTCAGCCAAGGCCGAGAACCACCCCTATTTATAGCCAAAAGGCCAAATAAAGCCATTGCTCAAAACTCAGCCTAAGAGCCGTCGAACCTAGGCTCCGAACCCAGGGTCCATGCCATACTAGGGTCCGATGCTTAGATCTCTGCCATGTGTCCTCGATCGCTTGAAGATGACCGTTGGCGATCAACGGCTACTTTCTATGCTCAGCCACCTCCCGGACTGAGCTCTAGACTCTCAGCCCGCACCAATGCGCAGACCAGTCCGGAGCAGTCCAGAGAGCTCCCGAGAGCCTCAAAACGCTCTGGACTTAGTCCGGTTGGGGCGGCTAGACCAAGCCATCGTTCCGGAGCCCCCTCGCTCTATCTCCCATCACGCCACGTGGCCTAGCACTACTAAAGATTGAGATACCACTATCGCCACTTTTACTACCGTAAAGATAGAAACGACGGTGTGATACTTCCATCGTCGGTTAGACCGATAGCGAGGCATCCTAAGGAATGAATCCAGCAGTTTAAACTTCTACCACCAACGAGTTAACAATAGATGCGGCAGTGATATTGAGGTTGCATTTCCTCCGTTGCATGAAAAATTGAGCCGTCTGGGATAGGTGTTATGGCCGTCGGCCCTACAGGACTGTTTGGTCTAGCGGTGGTAAATTCAGCGTGAGTTATTTTCCAACTACCCAAACACAGTTGCATCACCTGTACTTCCACTTCTCCATCTTCAAGGTTGGCGCATTGTTCCTCTCTCCCAATTTGTGTGAACCATTTCACGCCTCGCGCCGCGCCGCCGCCACCTCCCACATAGCCAACGCATTGTTCCTCTCTTGCAATTTGTGTGAACCATTACACGCCTCGCGCCACGCCACCGCCAGATCCAAAGGCAAGGGTATTCTTTCGCACTTCACTAATGGATCTTTGTCGGATTATTTTCCTCTTTAGATCTCATTAGTAAGGAAGCTCTCATTCTACTGCTCACTAATGATCGTAGGCTCTTCGAAATGGAGGAGACCTCCAACAAGAGGAACGTAGTGGCCAGCCTTACAGACGATGTCATTCTCAACACTCTCTGCCACCTCCCGTCCCGCTCCTTGTGATGGTGCAAATGTGTCTGTCGCTCCTGGAACCGCCTCATCTCCGACAACCGTAAGGTGCTGCCCCAGACTGTGGCCGGCTTCTTCTATGACACCAATAACGGCAAGCAAAACTTCACCAGCGTCACCAGTGAATGCCCCTCCTTGTCCTTCTTGCCCTTCCCCATTGACAATGTAGCTGTCTCAGATTGCTGCTGTTGACGGTAGTTAACAACCAATATAAACCGTCAATTAAACATGCATAAGGGCATAAATGTAATCATCAATGAAGGTTTAGGGGTTTAAACTGATAAATTCTATAAGTTTTGGTGAATCTATGTTTCCAGCAGGGTTTAATTAGAAAACTGCCAAGGAGGACCTAATCATCAAAGGAAAATACGGAGTTCCGCCGTAGTACCTATGTTGAAAGACTCTAGAAGGGTACAGAAGCCACGTCACTGAAGTAGAGGACCAGAGGATGACATGTGGGGCCGCCTGACCCCACTGTCAGGCTGCTCGGCCCCTGTGGGCCCACATGTTAGCCTCATCACTATGTCGGTTTCCCACCGCCTCCTATGATGCATCTAAGGCGTTGTTTAAGTCAGTTTGATCCAAGGGCTCACGTTGGACCCTCAGGACTATATAATCCAGTCCCTGCCTCCCCCAGCATCATAAATCATCAAGTCATTTGAGAAGATAGAAACCCTAATCTCCTCAGAGCTCCTCCTCCATAGCATAGCTAGTTAGGATAGATCTAGAGGGAGGCAAGTAGGACTTTGCTTGGATTCCCGATCTTATCAAGAGTGTGGTTTGGTATAAACTTTGTATCCCTCTCTCTTTTGTTTCTCCATTGTTTTTATATGCTAGTTACAATTGTTATGACAATCTCAGTGTTCATCTTATTCATGTTCTTTATTATGATGTTCAACGTCTACTTTGATTATATATTCAGTATAGCTAGTTTATCATTGTGTTTATGCATAAGTTCGTATAGCGCTCACTCTGATGTACACGGGGTGGCTGGTCGATATTGTGTAAGCATAGTGCTTATACGTTGTTTACCTATGGATACACCCTATATTCTGGGTCATGTGGTAGATTGCGGATGTGACACTCCCGTTGAGTCCTTTGTAGTCTACTCCCCGAATATAGGTGCACGTAGGGTCCGATTACGAAGGTAGAACGAGCTT